CACTGTGTCGCCATTCAGGCAGGATCTAATTAATCCAAAGCCATGTGGCACCTTCTCACAGTCTACTGACAAGAGTTCTTGGTACCGATTTTCCAGGCAAAATCTCTCCTGCTTCCCAGGCCACACAGCCAAAGGGAGTGCCCTGCAGCTGCATGGGCCTCTTCCACCAGAGCTGTGGGGGCTGCACTCTGGCCAAACCACATGGATCTCTTTTCCTGGCAAAGCCAAGAGAGTGTCCTCACTCTGGTAAAGCCTCGTGGCACTCTCCTCAATGGCTGCCGTGCCTGGGTTTAAATCCCCGATCTTCCTCTGTACCCCCATTTCTGACTCCCCCTACCATCAGTTATACCTGTCAGCATTCCTGTAATACTCCAAGTTTACTGGGCTGCCATCGTGAGTCTGGGCAGGTTTGGCCCCATGTCCTGGAGCCAATCTTCTCCCAGCTCCCATGCAGGCGCTGTAACTCGGGGGACCTGCCCCCCAATTCCATCTTGGGGGGAAGTGACTTCCATCTCCCTGGCTCCAAGCCTGGCCACAGCTATTTAACATATCTATGCAGCCAGTTAAAGGTTATAGATACGTTAAATGACCATGCCATGGATGAGCTGCAAAGTTGTAGCTGTACAAAACAGCCCTGCATGTTCTTGTCCATGTGTCCCTTCCCCCAACTCACATGTGGGGAGGGGGAGAAGGGGTGAGGACATCTTACATGTCTCTCCAATAATTCCTATATACCTTGTGTTCTGGACCCCATTCCAAATCCCTTTTTGGGGCTCCCCTCTCTTGGCTGCACCCTGTATCAAGACCACATATAATAATATGTGAAAAAAAAAAGACAAAGAAGAATCTTAGTAAAAACCACCAGTTTGGGGTTTGATGATTTCTTGAGTTTGTATGTCTTCCGCTCCTTTTTTAAAAAAATAAAAGACTAAAAAGAATATTGGTAATTTTGAATATTTGTTGTATGTCAGGCACTGTATTGTTAACTTACTCCTAGAGAAAAATCCTACCTGATTGATACTATTTGTCGTGTTGTAGAACTCTAACCTACAACCTCTGGAGAGACTAGCCTTGGAAGCCAAACAGCAGCCTCTGAATCAGCCCACAAAGACCTAGACTTGGTGAATGACCGCCAGCTTCCCCATGGGAAGGTTTGCACCCTTCCAATTCAGGATCCACTGGAGAACCCCTAAGCCAATTATATTAGAAGCCCCTCTAGACAGCTGTTCTCCAGCTTTGCCATACCAATAACGTCCAGTCAGATCACACATGAGGCCTTCCTTTTCTGTTATTGTCAAAGAAAAATTGCACCAAAGTTTAAACAGATAGTAGACTTTGTTCAACATTATTGCAATAGGGGAGAGATTGAATTCAACTCCCTTGAAACAAAAGGTGGGAAGGTTCTGAAGCTCTGGGGTGAGCTAATAGGAAAGTATCGGAAGCCCTTAGGGGAGGCTGGTCACTGCCCATAAGCCACCTGTTTCCTCACTGGTGCTCAGGAGGCTGGGCTCAAGCTCTCTCACGGAGACTGTGGGGATAGGGGTAACTGTGTTTCTTGATTAGCTTTCAAAGGGATATAGCTTCCAGGTTGTGAAAGTTCTAAGAGGTTGGAAGATTTACATCTCAAAGTGCAGAGAAAGAATTTACAGTTGCAAGTCTCCTCAAGTAAGTGCTCTAAGATAAGGCAGGTCGGCAGCCTACAGTCCGGAAGAAACCTGTCTAAAGCTTAGTCGGGCTGAGGATGGTGTGAAGGCCTTTTTAATCACCATAAAGCTTTCCCACTGCCCTGCCTGCCTTCATTCCCCCGCCAAGCACAGCTGATGCTGGCTGGCTTTCTTCTTGCATCAAACTCTAAATATTTCTGTATCCTTTTGTGTGTGTGTGAAGGCTGCAGTCTCCTAAAAGCACTCATTCTGCCTTATACTTAGAAATCTGAGTTAGAATTTAAAGTAATTCTTGCCTCGAAGCTAACCAAACCTTATGTTTTGTTGTCTACTCACTGCATGGTGCCTACGACTGATTATAATTCTAAAACAAATGGAACCGTTCTTTTCTTCACCTAGAGAAAGAAAACTTTTCTTACAAAGTTTCTTGCCCTAATGAAGAAAGTACAGACTGGAGTTATAAAGAGGTCCAGGTGTTCACCATTTACAGCCTTTGTTTTCTTATCTGGATCAGTTGATTAAAATTCCGGCTCCAAGCCACCACCCCCCCCTCCCTCGCTGCCGCCTCACATCCTAGCAATTTATTGTAAGTGGCTGACAAGTCCTGACTCATCTGTCTTTAGAACTGTTGCAATTCTGCTTTCATTAATGACTTCCTGCCCTCCTTCCCTTAAGGGGTGTTTAAGGATTGTTTCACATTCTTAGATAATAAAAGAACCACATTTCCAAAATACAGTCACGTGCTGCATAAAAGTATTCGGTCAAGAAGGACCACCATCTTAGATCCAATAAGACTATTATCGGAGCAGAGAAATTCCTTTCGTCTAGCGACTTGGTAACCACCCAGAGCTACACTGCCGAGAGTTATTGACATGTTCCGGGTGATGCTTGTGTGAACAAACCTCTTGCACTGCCAATTATATAAAAGTACAGCCCATGCAATTATGCATACTACATAATGCCTGACAATAATAAGTCACCACGTTACTGATTTGTTTATTATACTTTTTATCATTATTTTACAGCATTGTCTTTCTACTTCATAATAAAAAAGAGCTGGCTGTGAAATAGTCAGTTGTGTTACCCAGGGGGCAGCCTCATCACACATCTTGTGTTTAGCACGTCTCTCAATGGTATTATTTCCTCTTGTGCTTAACCTCATATTGTTTTATAAATTTCATGCAGCCTAAGCGTGCAGTGTTTATAAAGCCTACAGCAGAGTACAATGATGTCCTCGGCTTTCATATTCACTCACTACTCACTGACTCACCCAGGGCAAAGTCCGGTCCTGCCGGCTCCATTCCCAGTTAAGCGCCCTGTACAGGTGTACAATCTTATCTCTTCCACCACATCTTTACTGTACCTTTTCTCTGTTGAGACAAATATCCAGCATCGTGTTACAACTGCCCGCAGTATTCAGCGCAGTGACATGCCCATCAGGTTGGTTCCGTAGAAGCGTCAGGCTGTGCCCGTCAGCCTCAGTGGGCAGCAGGTTGTGTCGCCTACGTTTGTGTGAGCGTTCTCTGCAGCGCTCACACGCAAACGCCGGAAGTGCAAAAACACGTTTCTCAGAACGTATGTTTCTCTGTCATTGAGCCACACATGACTCCAATAATCAAGCAATGTTTTGTTAGGAAAAACATGAGAATCGTAGGCTTTTCAAAAATTACAAAGATTTTTAGATTTTTTTTTAAAGATTTTATTCATTTATCTTTAGAGGGGCAGGGTAGGAGAGAGGTAGAGAAACATCAATGTAGGGTTGCCTCTCATGAGTCCCCTGCTGGGAACTGGCCTGCAACCCAGGCATGTGCCCTGACTGGGAATCGAACTGTGATTCCTTGGTTTGTAGGCCCATGCTCAATCCACTGAGCTACACCAGCCAGGGCCAGCTTTTTAGATAGTTCTTTGCTAAGTCACTAATCAGTACATACTAGAGTTAACTTTTTTGTAATCTTTAAGTGTTTTCATAATTCCACAAAGTATCATTTCCATGGCATTGTTAACAATGAAGCAGGCATCTACGAACAATAAAAACTTTTTAGTTTTTTAAGCGACAAAGTAGGATACAGGGCTACATACAGCAATTATGTCAGAGCTTCTCCCACTTTACTGTGAATCTCCTGGGGATCTTGCAGCTGCAGGTTCTGACTCAGTCGATCTGGGCTGGGGCCTGACCTCTGCTTTTCCAAAAACTTTCTTGAAGATGCCTATGCTGCTGGTCTGCAGACCACGCCTTGAGTAGCATCGCCATACATTAGTTTCATATAAAGACAACGCTCCAATTTTACTCATAACTTATGCTCAGAAAACTGTATGTATGCATACATACAAACAGAATGAAAGAAAAAACACAGACTGGAAACATGCCAAACATGAAAAGAGATGTAGGTTCATAAGTTTTTGTTTTCTTTCATTCCATTTGTCTTTTCCCTACCAAAATAGTATTTCCTCAAACTTTTCTACAGTGAATATAACTTTTTGTTTTAATAGAAAGCTTTTTCTCTTTCTAAGCAAAAGGCCACAAAATGCTGGTGAGAACCAACAAGAATAAGAGCAGCAAGTCACAGGTAATGAATCTCAAAAGTGGTGAAGTTTGTGGACCAAGATTTTAAGAGGTTGACTTGCCTGATCTGTGGTGCTTGTGTGACTGTGATATTTGTCTCTTGGTCTCCTGAGTGGCCAGGTGGCTTCTGGAAGTCCTTGCTGTGATTCATCCACCTAAGACAATTTTAAGAGGCCACATTTTTCGCTGAGACGGAGGTGAGAGCAGAGAGCCAGGACCCTGCCACTCCCAGAGACGTCTCGGTATTGAAGATGCCCACATGAATCCCAGTGTCCTTGGGATTCATTCCCAGGACACTGTGGATGGGAGAAGATCCTCAAGCTCCTCACAGGACGGGGTTCTGCTTGGATCAGGAAAACCTGTGAAGCAAATTCAATAGTACTTCAACTTACTTTTCATATCAGGGAGTCCTCTGTCGAAGGAAAATCTGTAAGCACATTGCAGGCATTTAACAGGGAGGTTGGGAAGTGCTTTAAAAAAGAATTTGTACTTAAATTCTTAGAGGAGTTAAAAATAACCTCCACCTATTTGGATGAAAGTACTGGGTGGGGGTTCCCTGTGGGGGTGCTTGCATTAGGCGCGGGTGTCATGAGGCAGTTTCATTTACTTGCAGCAAGCAAAGGAGGTGGGATGCACACCCAAGGCTCTGTCTCCTTGGAAGGGAGGCTTAGCAGTTGCTCAGATACGCCGTCTGGTTAACTGTATGTTTTCTTCTTTGCAACTAGTTACATTTATCAGGTGGGTTCCACTGAAGCTCATGCTATTTACGGCTCTTCTGGAAAATAACTGTGTTACACATTCACGTGAGGCAAGAATGACATGTAGTAAGAGCTGGTCAGACCCTGAGACCCTTGACCTGTCCAACGAATGGCGTTAAGCTGACTTGAATAGATACATTTTAAAAGAAAGGAGACACAGTGAAAACTCGTCATGCCTGTTCTTTTTTTCTTTTACAAAGAGAGCTGGAAGATTTAAAATCTGAGGGAAAACAAACTAACCACCAAAGCATTAGATTTGAAATCCCAGAGGGAAAATAAACTGACCTGACAGGTATTCAAAGAGAAAGTATTCAAAGATCCCACCAACCAACAGGCACCAACAAGCAGTGTGTGACACCCCTCAGAGACTCCAGCATGGTGCACGGTAGGTTTTTGAACCTTAGGGTCAATCTTTATGACAAGATGTGGACCAGGTCATTTATAAGGAATTTAAGGAATGTGTTTACTCATACATTAAGTGTTGGGAAAAGGTAGGAATATGTCTTCTTTCAGCAATGGAGAAAAGAGTGAATAAAAATCACTGGTTTGAGTTCCACAGGACTTCTGGGGCTGTATGCCTTCAGTTATTTTTTTAAATTATTAAATAAGAGACTCAAGCCTGGTGAGGATGAAAGTGAACTAAAAATAATCACACTAATGATAGGGGACTCAGAAGTTGGGAAATTTTTAGTTTAAGGTAAATAGTTAATAAGCCTAGTAGGTAATGCATATGTTCAAGCTATTATTTCAGGAACTGCAGGTACCGTCAGCCACTCCGCTGGGAGGCTGCTGACCTGGGGCACAGCTGGAGACCTCCAGACCCATTCCGTTCTGGGGCGAGACAGATGTCTCTTCCCGGGACAGCTGGCCCCCAGGGTGCAGTTCTTTGATCTAATTGTCCCTGAATTCCAACCCCCTCACTGCACCTTGCTCTGTTATAAGAAGGCTGGTTTGGAAGGCAATGGAAGGCGGTCTGCCAGGGCATAAACCCGCTGTCTTCTGAGATCGCCAGCCATCTGAATACAACGCCTTAAAGATTCAGTCCCTGTCTCTGCTTACTGGGTTTGGTATGTGACAGGCAGCACGAATGCCAGCTTTTCTAGATTCACTAGCAATGATAATAGCTAATTTTGAGCCTGGGCTGGTGTGGCTCAGTGGATTGAGCACCAGCCTGCGATCCAAAGGGTCGCCAGTTCGATTCCCAACCAGGGCATATGCCTGGGTTGCCAACCAGGTCCCCAGTAGGGAGCGTTTAAGGGGCAACCACACACTGATGTTTCTCATCTCTTCCTCCCTCCTTTCCCATCTCTGAAAATAAACAACATTTTTTTAAAAAATAGCTAATTGGGAGCATTCACTTTATGCCGAGCCTTGTTCTCAGTGTTTTTTCATTTAACTTAATCCTAGGGAAAAATAATTCTACGAGATTGATAGCATTTATTATTTAACAAATAAGGACACAGAGGCACCTAAAGATCAAGCACTTGCCCAAAGCCACAGTAAGAAGAGGTGGAGCAGTTTTAGCCCGAGAACCTGAACTCTGGAGTTCGCCTCTGTGGAGAAGGCAACCAGGTGATGCTCCCATTTTTGATCCACGTCGAAGCAGCTTTTCTTGTTGACTATAGTCAGGACTCTGTCATGTGGGGCGTGTGACTCATAACCAAATTTATTACATCAGGTGTGAAATCTGCCAAGCAGTTTAACCTCATAGGGGAGTCAGGCAGGGTTGTTGGGGAAAAATAAAGGTTTAATTTATGCTGCCTTTATTACCTTTTCTACCTACCAAGCAGTTTTGGAAACAGATCAGCTTGAGTGTTGGTCTCCTGGGCCGGAGCGCTGACAGCGGAGACCCCTCCGCCCATGGGACTTGCAGGACTCAGGGACGTGACGTGACACTGGGGTACTTCTCATGAACACAAGTCAGAAAACTCAGGATGCCCTTGGCATCCTTTGACTCCCTCGAAGTTGCTCGAAAGGCCATTTCTATGTTACTTGAGAGAAGATCATCTTGTCTAACTTGGTGCAGTTGGTTTTATCTGGAGCAGTTGAAATATGTAATTGTTTACACTTTTAGGATGGTTAGCACCTAGATATAAGGAACATGGCAAGCTAGTTTACATTGACATCACATGTACAATTTCAGTACAAATCAACATGGATGTCCAGTCTCCTGTCTGATTTTTGCCCCGTGCGTGCTGACCACAGGCCTGGGGCTCTGCTACGTGCCAAAGAGTGGAAGCCCTTTTTGTGCTGGGGCTTCATTTCAATGTTTTCACTAGGGTAACTGTGTTGTCTTCAAATAGATTGCAACTGCATTTTACATTACAGACTACATCTGATCTATTCTGCACCCCTGATTGGTTATACCGGTAGTTTGAATTTTATGACTGACCATAAAATGTTCAGCAAACTATGGCCCATTGGCCAGATCAGGCCCATAAGCCATTTCGTGTGGCCTGTGTGCTAAGCATGTCTTTTACATGTTTAAATAGTTGAAAAGAAACGATAAGAATAATAGTATTTCATGACATTGGGAAATAATGTGAAATTCAAATCTTAGTGTCCACAAATAGTTTTATTGGAACACAGCCACCTGCATTATTTGTTAAGCAGATGCAGGACTAGCTGTGTGAACTGCACAAGCCACATGACCTCTAGGCCAAGGTTGGCTCATCTATAAAATCAGGACACAGTTTACCTATCTTGCCTGCCAGGAGGTAAGAAGTGGATCAGAGTATATTTGAGGGCATTTCAAGCTCTAAACTGAAAACCGGGGGCAAAGAGGAGGCAGTGGGTAAGGGAAAATGTTAAACAGCTTACTCCTCATAAGCCAAAGTTCCCCCCCACCCCCTTGTCTTGTTAACTCCTGCAGTAACCAAATACCACCCCTTGTCCATCTCCAGAAGGAGTGCTTGGCTCCACAGGTTTCCAAACCGGGCCACACTACTAACAGGTTAATAAAGGTGGTATTTAATAAATAGAGGAATATGTTTAGAAAAAAGTTCCTTTCATGGCGCCAGAAGGACTGTTTTCCAACAGCATCAAGAGAGATGTCTTTTCAACAGGTCTTGACTCCATGTCTTACTAATGAAACAACTACGAGAAAGAATTAAGATACAGTCATTTTATGGCAAGCTATGCATTGCTATGTGGGGATCAGCTTCACCTGCAGTATTTTAACACTAAAATGCTTAAAATGTTCAGATTAATAGCATTTTTACTGAACTACAGTAGACACTTTGGGTAAAGCCCTTTTCAATGGCAGTTCACTGTCGGAGTTCAGTCTGTTGTTATCCCACTTTTCCTCACTCCTCTTTTTCCTTCCTGACACTTACCTGGGGGGGGGGGGTGCACAACAGAAGTAAAAAAAAAATGCATACTTGCTGTTCTAATTTTCCCATTTATTGCTACTTAATTTTTTCAGCTTTTAAAGAACAAGCCCCTCTCCCCATTTACCTCCATTCCCTTTGCGGAACACAGACCTCAAACTTCATTTCTGCTTTTGTCTCAAAAAGCAAATGGGGAGACAGAAAAGAGGTCAAGTGAGAGGTATTGCAAAAGGAGAATTAACAACAGAGGTTCTTATCTCAAAGTCCCTACACTCTCTTCATTTCAAAGTACCTTTTCTTCCCCTCTTGTGAAGGCGGTAGGTCTCCAGACCCTCACAGTATTTAAGCCACAAACGAGGTAATACGTTGTTTACAGTTGTCTTCGATGTGTACTGGGTGCCATCAGCTGCCTCTCCAAGCACCCGCGCCAGTCTCTAAAGGTCCCTGCTGTTCCTTAATTGCAGGTTGGGGTTGCAGAAGAGCGTTTTCCTCTCTTGAGGATTACCGTTTGTCCGCCAGCCCAGAACATTCCCAGGGCGCCTCCTTCCTGTTTAATCTCCTTGGGAAATCAGGTCCCTGTAGCCCTGGAAAGGTCGTCTCTCCGCCGTGTGGACTCGCGGGGCCTCTCTCTGTGCCCAGAATGCCGGGTTCCCCAGGGGTCCGTGCGCCCCACAACCCGCCTCACTGCTTGTTGGTACGAAACGTGACCATGGTCATGAAGCGCTCCTCTGTCCGTGAGGTCAAGCAGCCCTTCGTCCACGCGGTCTGGAGGACTTCTTGTGTCACTTGATAATCCACCACCCGCACGAGCACGGATTTGGGTGGGGCTGGGGTGTCCCGCGGCGGGGTTCCGGCGGGAGGGTCCATGTGGCCGCGAGGACCCCGCTTTTCTCCTGCTAAGTGAGGAGCAGGGCTCTCCGGGTCGCCCTCACCCGCCCGGGAACCGTCCTGCCCACCAGCCGCCTCCAGCAACGCAGGATCCACGTGAGTCCCCAGCCCTCTCTCCGGGTGAAGAAGAAAGAGCACTTTCTCTCTTACCCAGGACAAGGAGTCCAGATTCTGCCCGTCCCTGCAGTCCTCGTGGCTGCTGCCCGGGCTTCCTTCTGCCCCGGGATCCGGGGCGCCCGCGGCCACTGGGGGGCCGCGCGCCACCCCGCGCGGAACGGTCCCCGCTTGCCCCAGGCTGCGAGGGCAGCCCGCGCGGTGCGTGGCTCCGCGGAGACCCGGGGCCCCCATGCCGGTAGGGGGGTCATTCATTCGTTCCCTTCTCTGGTTCCCGCAGCAAACTCCGGCCCCGCTCGGGAAAGCGCGGCACGCGCAGCCCCAGGTGCGGTCGCGCGGCCCCGGCGCCCCGCCCGCCGAGCAGGGGCAGCGGCCCGCCCCCGCCACCCGGGGCAGAGCCCCGGCCCTCGCCTCCGGCCTTCCACCCGGGCTTTCAGCCCCGCAGAACAAAAGGCCGGACACCCGGGTCGCTCCTCCGCCTCAAGCCCCGGTCCGTGACCTTGATGCCTCCGTCGTATTTCTGATTCAGTTTCCTCTTACTGCTCCGCTCGACCCTGCTTTCCACTCCGAGTTTCCGCGGAGCCAGGGCGCACGGCCCCCTCCCCCTGCGCACCTTGGAATCGCCCCACAAAGGGCAACAGGACGCACGGGAAGGCACGAGGAAGCTTCCTCTTCTTAATTACTTGACTTCTTCGAATTCTTCAGAAAAAGGGTTGCGTGTTCATTCCGAATCCACGCCCACGGCGCCGGCCCGATAATCGAATATAGATGAAAGGACCAGACTGGGAAAGTTGGAGGCTTTGAGAAAAGGGCTTTTGTTTGTTGTTCCTGCTTTGGAATGCAGTGGCCACGCCTGTGTCCGCTTGGGTTACAATCAACGTTTATCCCGGGAAGGGGCTTAAGGAGAACAAATGGAAACAAAACAAACACAAAAAGTCAAGTGAACTTTAGGATTTAAAATGTTGTGTTCCCGTCGTTTTTAAAACCCGCCCCTCTCCCCCTCCAGTCCTGTTTAACTCCGGGGGTTAAGAATGCAGGCGTCTGAGCGGAGGCTTTTGGAACCTCCCATTGCCCGGCCCTCTGTCTGCCGCGCCAACCTTCGCTAGAGGTTAATGGGGGAAGTGACCTAACAGGAAAAGGGGAGCTAGTTTGTGATTTCCAGTCCGTTGATGGTAACAGGTGCTTGTTTTATTAGAAAATGCTCACTTTTCCTGTCTGCTTATAAAAATGACTGCAGTAGTAGAGATGTATGTTCATACATGAAGGATCAAGTAGAATGCTGAGACATTTGGAAGGAGAGGACTTCCTGATGTCCGCCAAGTTGCAGAACAACAACCACAAGTGTGGTTGGAGTGAGAAAACTTGGGTCAGGTCCGGCTGATCAGATGCCTGACCTCGGACTGGCTTCTGCTAAGTCACAACTCAGTGAAGTTTTTGAGTGTCTCAGACGAGGACTGTTTTAAGTACTCTATGTACTTAAACTCGTTTGTTCTTTACAACAAACCAAGGAAGTAGTAGTCTCCTTAAGAACTTTGAAGAACAGGGAGGTTAAAGTGTGTGTCCGAGGTCAAGCACTGATAAACAGTGGAGCCAGAATTCTAACGTTTAAATGCTTGCTCCTATTTTAAATTACCTTCTTGTTTTGGTTCTGGCTGAGTCGCTCAGTGGGTTAGAGCCTCGTCCAATACGCCAGGGTTGTAGCTTTCATCTCAGATCAGGGCACATATCAGAATCAACCAATGAATGCATAAATAAGTGGAACAACAAATTAATGTCCCCCCCCCTCAAATCAATTAAAATTTTTTTTAATTAAAAAATTATCTTCCTATTTTAAGCCTATGACTTCATGTTCTTTCCTGTTTATTTATTTATGTAACCAGTAATCACTGAGTGTGTGCTAAATGTCAACCGTCTTCTTCCAGGTGGTGGGGACGTCTCTGGGAACAAAGCAAGTTATGTAGTAGTACATCAAATTCTCTGTCCAAAAGTAGGAGACAATAAATTAACTTTAATAGACATGAAAGTCACCTGCAGATTAATGCCCTAGCCTACTTTCAGGTTCTGTTCTTATAGGTTTGGGGCATGGCTTAGAATATGGAGTTTTATCAAGACCCTCAGTAATTTTGAAGCTAGTAGTCCCTGGACAACAACATCATGAGAAACATCACCAAAATCTGCATGGATAATCTTTAGGCTTTTTTTTTTTTTTTTTTTTTGCTGCTTTCAAATGTCACTAAGAACTTTATTTTTCTTCCTTACAGGAATATTGGGGAATTTCCAATGAAGAGGTCTGTTTTCTGAGGGAAGTCTAATATAAACCACAAGATTTATTGCACTTGAGCAATATTTCACTATTGGAGGATGGGAAACATCTATTTGTTGAGAAATGAGACACATTCACCCATCATATAGCATCTGAATTTCTAGGTGTCAAGAAGTTGTGTGTAAATGCATGAAAGAACATGAAGAGGAAATGCTAAATAAACTCAACTTCAATGAGACAAAGTCTAAAAAGAATATAAACCAAAGAAACAGGTAGCTTGCCTGCAGGATGGTGGTGTCTGCCCAAAAGACTGATACATGGTGCTAACACGGCCCCATTTGCTTCCTCTCTGGATTGCCTGTTATAGTTTCAGGCCAGCGAGGGACAGTAAAATAGTTTACGTCTGTGGAGTCTGAAAAGTCAAGGAAGACCTTGTGTCCTGGCAGCGTCAAAAGAAGCCTGTCGTTGGCAGCACAGCCTCTCCAAGACCTGGCTGTGGCCGGACTCCGGCTAGCAGAGTCCATCACATCTGGTGCCCAGGAACAGGGACGCAAAGGCTGTTAGCCAAGGCTATCAGACGTTGTTGTGGTCAACACACCAACACGGCTGGAACACGTGCAACAGCCCAGGTAAAGGCCGAAGACCCCAAGTACTTTTCGGAGAATGTAGGGTGTGTTGTATCTTAGGGAAAAAGGGTATCTTTCCAAGGTTGCCCTCTCTTGCGACCGCACTCTCTTTAGTAAGCAGAAGCCTTGCTCTCTCTCTGGCAATCGTTGCACCCTTGGGCTTGGGTCGAGCATTCCACAAGGGTGCCCCCCTCTTGAGGGAGTGGCCGAGGCATCCACAGGCACTCTCCCCTTGAGAGAGTAGTCATGCCTGTTCCCTTTCCCCCACAGGATTGTTGTCACCTCTCCATTCATTCTCACCATCAGCCACAACAGGTGGACTCTGCTGGCCAGGGTCCGCCACACCCGGCCCTCTCACTTTTCCTGTTAGGTCCAGACCACAATGTAAATTCCTCTACTAGAGTATCATTCTCTTATTTTAGTGCCTTTGCCTCTGGAAGGTTTACCCTTTTCACTCGCACGCCTCTGGCTTTATTTTGTAGTTGACCTGAAAAGCTGGGCTCACGTACAATTTTTTACTTGTGAAAAGGCAACGACGATGGAACAGCCCTGCTGGCAGCCAGGCCTTGTCAGTACCGACTGCATGTACTCAACACTCACGTAATATAAACATTGTCCCTGTAAAGGGCACTCTGTGACCAGAGACAAGGTCACTACAAAACCGTAACAAAGATTAAACCTCTCCCTCTTCTGGCTAAGTGACCCTGGCTGCTTTGCCAGTGATACCGCTAATCTTTTCCTGCTTCCATTCCCTTGGTAAAAAAATGCCAAGGCACTGTTTCCCTGAGTTGTCCCATTTCCTGACAAGATCTAATCAAGCACTAACTCCTGCTTCCTTGAAATCATTTCATTTAAGTCTAAATCCTATGAGAAGCCCCTCCCGGCTCCACTTAATGAAATGCCCCAGAATTTCTCAAGGGTACATTCTTACTTGGTGAAGCAGGATGAATATATCAAACCTAATTCTTAGTGCCGGTGTGTTCCTGCTGCTCTGGCTGCTAGGATTTAAAATTTGTTAATTTGGGAAGCATATAATGCCATGCCCCGAAATGAAATGAGAATATATGCTGGGGCAAGGGGATGGTGGGGTGAAAAGTGAGGGGGTCAACCGAGGCCAGGATGGATTTGCAGTTGTTTGGCTGCCCACAGGTGGAGGTGACTCTGGCATTAAGAAATGAATCAATATATCTATTGAATCAATACATTAATCAAATAAATTAACACGTTAATAGGCTTTCACTTTTAAAACTTAGGAAATGCAAAGAGTTGTGGAAAACGGACTGACAAAGAACTTTTCTATTCGTCACGTTGGTGACAGTTTGTGTTCCAGTATCTGGTTTGAAAGTTACCACAACACTGTTTTAGAGGGGCCTCGGTACATTGGCAGATTAAGAGACTGTGCCTTTGGCAACAGAATTGTCTTTCAGCAAAGGCTACTCTTAGGCTCACTCACTCTTATTATACCTGTTGGTAAATAAATTTGTTCCATTAATGTTTTCCATCTTTAGAAAGGAGTGAGCCTGTCATATGGCGGGTTGTGGTCATGCACACATCATTTTTACAGGATAGGTCAGCCGTGGTTCTCAGGGGTGGCCGTTCTTGAAGTTTAGCCCTCTACTGATTCAAATATATCAGTCTATTTGAAGTGGGAAGTGTGGGCAGGAGTATTTTTTTGAAGCCACTTGCCTGAAAGGATTAATGGATTACTAGATAATGGAGCTTATTTGTTGTTTGCTAGATATGCATTTGCCAGAAACGACTGTTATTCTTGCTAACACAGTAGCAAGAATTTTCTAATTTGAGTGAGATTGAATTGCCTCATCACTTTTCAAACTTGACTGCATTGGAATCACCTGGAGAGTATTTTTTAAAAAGTATTACTTGGCCCACTCTAAGAGATTTTCTTTTCATTTATTGATTATTTTTTTTAAAGAAGCAGGGAGGGGAGAGAAACATCAACTTGTTGTTCCACTTACTTATGCATTCGCTAGTTGACTCTTATATGTTCCCTGAACAAGGAGCAAATCGGGAGGACGCTCCAACCAACTCAGCTACCTGGCCAGGGCCGTTCTAAGAGGTTTGGATTCAGTTGGCTTGGAAGGCAGCTTGGGGCACTGGCAAGTTTATAAGTTGCTTCCCAGATGATTCTAACAGGCCACCTAGTAGGACAACCATTGAAGTAGATTATCTTTAAGGCTATGACACTAGGAAGGAAAAGTTCAGAATAATTTGTGTATATATTAGGCACCACAATTAGTAAAAAAGAAGTTAAAGTACAGAAAGCTAGTGAAGGGAAGAAAAGAGGTGAGAGCTAGTGTAGTTTAAAAAGCTTGTGGAATAAGTGGAAATTTATCTGTATTGATTTGGGTAGGTATTCTGGTTGGAAGCTGTGTGATGTTGGGTTTAAAGACAAAGAATACTAGGTTTGCCAGTTAACTGTGACGGGGAACAGAGTTTGCCACTCCAAAATATGCCTTTGGGGATATTAATTATTTTAAGCTGGTTATTTCTAAGAAACAGAAGACTCAGTGAGAAATTTGCCTGCCTAAAGGAATACCTGCTTAAAGAAAGGGAGCTGTTCATGTTTGTATACTGACCTAGTGTATAGAAACCCAGCCTGTTTGTTGGAAGCCTCTGTGTGCCCACTGGTTCTGGGTGGACCAGCAGGAATTTGTTCATCACTCGTCTGTACTTTCTCAACTACCTGTGAATTGGCTGCTTTCCCTTGGAAATCTTAGGCTCCTGCCTCCTTCTCCTTACTTCATAATGGCATAGAAGTTCAATTGCCCTTGTGTCCTGGGGTCTCATATTCTAATATACTCCATAGGCAAGCATGTAATAAATTGGGACATTTTCTCCTGTTAATCTGCGTCAGGTTAATTTGGTTATTATTCCCATCAGAAGAATTTATAAAGGTGGGAGAAAAATTTATTTTTCCACTCCTAAACTGCAGTGCTGCAGTGTGTGACTCATGAAGCACTCTGAGAAGTAGCTTAAGTGAGGTTTCAAAACTATAATTCAGGGCTGGCTGGTGTGGCTTAGTGGATTTGAGTGCCGTCCTGTAAACCAAAGGGTCATTGGTTCAATTCCCAGTCTAGGACC